CATTTTTTTTTTATTTTATTTTTTTTGTCCTAAGGAAACAATCAAGGAATAGAAAAAAAATATATGTGTTTTTTTTTTTCCGGGGCCTTTTAATATTCATGTGTGAATGTGTGTGTGTGTGTGTGTGTGCGTGTGTGCGTGTGTGTGTGTGTGTATGTGTTTGAATGTGTGTTTGTGTGTGTGTGTTTGAATGTGTGTGTGTGTGTGTGTGTGTGTGTGTTTGAATGTGTGTGTGTGTGTGTGTGTGTGAGAGAGAGAGAGAGAGAGAGAGAGAGAGAGAGAGAGGGGGGGGGGGGGTAGGGAGGGGATTGAAAGAGAACAGATTCAGAAATAAATTTCATGCAATCACAACGGCAAGAAAAAGGTTCGACAATGCAGCAATCTTTTGTTGACATTTACCTCTAGCAGGGATACCACATCCTTGCTATCGTGATTAGCTAGAACATATTCCAACAGTGGCTGCAGGGAAAAGACGGCAGGCATGATCGACAACAAAAGACGACACCAGGTACATTAGGAACTTGTGAGGAAATAAACAGCCCAATCAAGCCCCTGCTCCGATCACAAAGAGTTTAAAGTTTAAGCACTTTCTGCCGCAGCAGCTGCATTCTCCAGGATCTCATCTGAAAATGGCACCCAACCATTCTAAGTATCAACTACTTCAGTGGTTCTTGATTTCATATCTGACTACATGACGCTCATCGTTTTCGCTCTGGTTCTCACTCTGTTTTCACCTTCATCCACTCTGAAAAACCTGCGTTGCAAAACTGCTTACGTAACTACGTGAAGACCTCAGCTCGACCATTCTGGTACAACCATGGCTCTACCATTCCGGCACAACCTTTGGGATGGCCTCTGCGCAAGGATGACGCTGATAAATCGAGAAATGGTCCACATCAGATATATAACCTTCCCAGCAAATTGGTGAAACGTCTTATAGGGTAATGCAGAGCTAGAGCAGAAGACATAAGCCCAACACACATTCTCAGAAAACGACGACAGTGCATTTTTCAATTTTATTATTTTCATAATTTTTTATTTTGCGCTTTTCCACACTCTGCACATCAGACAAGAAAAAGGGGTCCCTATTTCCTGGAGCAACACCCATATCACCTTGCCCTTTGTTGGCAAACGACCCCCTGCTCCATAATCAAACTCCAGCCCCCTACACGAGCTATCAAAGGGAAAAAAGGAGGGATCCTACATGCCTGCCACTTCACCTCCTCTCTCCTTGTACCATCGGGCACCCATTCTATTTGCACATTACGCAGGCATTCATGTGTGGTATTACTTTTTGGCAAGTTTTTGCCCATTTCCAATTTTAGAGAGTTTTGGATTTCACGCACAGCTGCCAGAGATTCCAGAACACCAAAGCATATAAATGGGGTCCCTCATGCATGAATTAAAAACTCACATTTAGATCTCTTGGAAGTCCCCCAATCGGCTGAATCTCCACGGTTTTGGCAACCTGTATACCATTTCATTGGAACAGAAACGCCAATCAGCAACCATTAGATGTTTGTTTACCTCATATTTTGCATCCACCAGGTTGCACTTAATTCCTCAATTATTCACACGGACCTGTATTAATTTCTCGTTTGCTCCCCACTACATTAAAATTGATTAAATTTAAAAAAAAAAAAAAACAAAAAAAAAAAAACATGCAGTTCTGGCACCTTTCCATTCTGGGGTTTTGCTCTCCATTACATATCTTATTATTTCCATGACACAGAAAAAAAGACCGTGGGCAGTTGTTCGCAGGCAGGTCGACAATAGAAAGAAGGGCCACAGTGCCTTGCGTAATCCCAGAACCCCTTTGCTAGTTGGCAATCAATGAAGACTGTGAATCAGATCATACACATTATTCTGCACAACACAGATTTTTCGGCTGCTGGGACTGTCTCATCGTGGGACTTGTCTTTCTGACACAGGCTGGAGAGGAAGAGACCCATAGAATTCAGCTAAAGAGGACAGGCGCAACTCACAGAGAGTTCATCTGAGTCTACCCAGACAGAGAGACTCTTTGGAGACGGCCTGAGGATGATTGTCCGCATTCATCTCTAAGGGAAAAAAGCCGCTATCCTGACTTCAGGATCATCAGGACTGCCAGTTTACGGGTAGCAAGAGTTGGGTAGCCTCCAGAGGGGCGGAACTCCAAGAGATTCCATCTGCATTTACCCCAATGGAATCTCTTGGAGTTCCGCCCCTCTCGAGGCTACCCAACTCTTCATCTATGCTACCCGTAAACTGGCAGTCCTGATGATCCTGAAGTCAGGATAGCGGCTTTTTTCCCTTTGAGATGAATGCGGACAATCACCCTCCAGACCGTCTCCAAAGAGTCTCTCTGTCTTGGTAGACTCAGATGAACTCTCTGTGAGTTGCGCCTGTCCTCTTTAGCTGAATTCCAACAGATAGTCTTCTGGAAACAACGTGTTGGGTGGGTCTACTTAAGACTTCACGATCATCACAACTCCCGGTGATAAAGAGTTAACTATCCCCGGGTTTCTGGTCATCTGGACTTTTAAAGACAGCAATCATAAACCCAGAAAGTCTACATCTCAGGTTGCAAGCCAGAATGGAGTGGATCCGCAACAGCCATATTTTCTTATTCATCTTGAAAAGCATAGACAAAAATCTTTTAGGAAGTGTCCCAGTTTGTCGACTGGCAACTTCTCAGGGAGTGAGAAATTTCCAAACTCAGTCCTTGGGAACATCCGTTAAAACAGGAACGATACAGAGAAGATTAGCAGGGCCCAAGCACAGGGATGACAAGCATGATAGCAGTAGAGTAGAGTAGAGTAGAGTAGTGAGAAACTGATCGGCGAATCTGCCTCGGCATGAGCATGGTGGAGAGAAAAAATACACCGATAAGATCCGCACAATGTCGCAAGTAAGAAAAGAACCAGGGTCAGACGCAGAAGAAAAGGGAACCAAACCAGCACTCAAGAGAAGAGATAGGTACTACAAAACCAGAGAGTGCAAGAAGAGATAGGTACTTCAAAACCAGAGATGACGAGCATACATCGAGAGAAGAGATGGGTACTACAAAACCAGAGAGTGCAAGAAGAGATAGGTTCTTCAAAACCAGAGAAGACGAGCATAAATCGAGAAATGGTCCAAAAGGGGAAAAAAGGTAAAGAAAATTTTGAACTCAGTCAAACGTTCGGCAGCTGCTGGTATCTCTTTAGAAGTCAGAGACGACAAGCATAAATCGAGAAATGGTCCAAACGGGAAAAAAAAGTAAAGAAAATTTTGAACTCAGTCAAACGTTCAGCAGCTGCTGGTATCTCTTTAGAAGTCACTGCAGCAGCTACTTGGTCAGGGGTGTTAACGTTCGCGTACTTGGGTGGTTTTGCAGGCCCACATATATGGATATCTCTAGGCCTGCATTGCTCGGATACCAGTCCAGATGATGCATCCTTGTCAGTACCAGGCACATAAGAATATGTAATCACAGTGTCAGCTTGATACGAGAGTTATTTTTGGGGTGAACCATTGCAGTATACAAATAAGAACACAGCAACGTTCATAGATGTCAAACCTATTTTAGAAGTAAGAAAAGTCAGAATCTCCGGAACCACCCAATTAGTCCCATCCATTATACCAAAGAGTCGTCAAGAAACCTTAGCTCTTCGGTGGATTCTTGAAGGCGCCTTGTGGAGACGACGTTTGACAAAAAAAAACATAAGTTTAGATCAATCTGCTATAGGGGGCATCATTGCTATGCCATGGGGGGCGTCATTGTCGTTCCATAGGGGCAATATTGTCCAGCCATCAGGGGCGTCATTGTTGTGCCATAGTGAGCCACAGGATGACTTGTCAACAGACCTCACTGAAATGAGAGTAGACAGAAACAATGGTGCTGTAGCCTTCATGCACCCCGTACCTTTTTCAACTTCCCTGGAGGTCAGGGCACAAGTAATGAAAACAAACATGAAGTACTACTAATAGTACCAAATAGTACATAGTATACATAGTCAAACAGAGCTGCCCGGTAAACGCCAGGCAGAGAGGGAGAAGAGGACAACAAACGAGGGGCTGTGACAAACTGTTTCGTCAGAGTTTCACCGACTCATCAGGAGGCTATATATATACTACATGCCTTTTGTCATTGTGCAATGTCGTTTGAAAACAATACATCATTTGACAACAACAACAACCAGAACCAAGCACTTTTCACTAAGCAAAGGAACAATCACAAATTTGAAATCGAGAGTTCATTTGTTCTGCAGACTTTTTTTTTCCCTTTCCCTTACCCTGCAACCTTCCAGCTTGTAGCCCAGTGCCACAGCTATGGCGGACTCGAGATCTGCTCCCGAATGAACAGCCTGCATACACCAATGTCGGCAACAAATACGTAGAAAGTACGAGTCTTAGTGAAGCAAGTTCTGCCCAGTCCTGTATCTGATCGACGAGTCAAATACCTTTCTGATTGAGAAATGATCCAACGGGACGCCACCGCAATCACTAATAAGATGATACATCGTTATCAACTTCGAGCTTCACTAGATTGAGAAACTACTCTGGGGAGAAAGGCATGACAGCGGGGGGGGGAACCCGCGAGTCACAGCTCTGAAAATAGAGATGCAGGGGAATGGATGACAGAATAACACAGATGCGTTTCATGGAAAGAGTGAAGTAGCTTCCAAAGAGCTGATAGTATGGGTCGAGTTCAGTGTCAACTTCCAAAGAGCACTTCACATACTGAGTTAAGTCAGTGAGATAAACTTCCAAACACCTCACAATGCATCAACTTCAGTGAGATACGCTTCCAAAGAGCTTGCAGTATGCACGAGATTCAGAGAGAGAAAACTTCAAACAGCTCACAGCACGTGTTAAGCTCAAGGAAAGTCCTCACAGCAGAACTTCCCACCAACCTAGAGAGTAGAAAGAGGGGACCGTTTGATCTATAAGGCTGAACAAACGACGCTTCACATATATGAGTTCAGCCAATGAGATAAAATTTGGCTGCTAGGCAGCCAGTCCAGATATCCGGGCTCTCTCCCAGGTAATCTGGCTTGGCTGCCCAGATAACCCAGACATGATCCGGCCAGGCAGGTTTTATGAGGCCCTGTGCAAAACAGAAGGGACGGGGATAAGTTGAATAGCCTTTTCTTAAAAAAAAAGGGGAAACAACTGAAGGAAGGGGGTGAACCTGAACAAAAAGAGAAATGAAGCTGCCAGTTCACACTAACCCAAGTATTGCTCGTACCGGCATACGCGGTGAGAGCATTTCAATTCAGGCCTGCGCCGGTAGCAAAAGCGTCAGGCCACTTTGAAAAGGCAGTTGCGGGATCGTGAGCCTTGGAAGGTAGCTTCATCAACTTAGGTTCTTGTGAAAATGGTGGGTTTGAAAAAACTATGACACACACACCCTGTGCAAAAAAGTGGGGAGGGCAATAACTGGAAACAAAAAAATGGGAAAAGTTCAAAAAACTGGAAAAAAACTTCAAAAAAGTTAAAAAAACTAAATGCAGGGACTAAACCTGAATAAAAAAAGAAAAGAAAAAAACAAATGAGAACTACTCTAGACTCTCACACACACACAAATCGCACACACGGAACCATAGTGTGCACAGGCACTATGTTGCAGAGAAAATTGACAAATGCAACATGGAGTCGTGGACAACTTTTGGGTGGGGGTTGCATTCAAATTCTTATTAAAATATTAAAACAAAAAGTTGAAAAAAAACATTTAAATTTTAAAGCAGTCGTAAAAATGCAAATATTTTAAGCATAGATCGTTGACCTCATACAATGGACATTAAATCTTCTTTTCATCAGGCAGTCTGAGGCAGGCTGAGGCCAGAGTAGACGGATATCCTTTCGGAAGTTTCGGTAACAGAAAGATCTTGCAGTTCACAACGTTGAACTGAGACTCTGAGAGGGATATCACAGGCTGACTTTTCACGTCTGCTGAAAGGAGGGGAAAATAAAGTTAAAAAAAATAAATTAAAATTCAAATATTTAATTATTTAATATGATAATATCTAGATTTTAATACTTTTTAACTTCCATATAAATAAAAAAATATGTAATTAAATAATTTAAATGATTAAATCCAGATACCCGTCAGGACAACTGATGCTCAGGCATCCTGGACCGGACATCCAGCCAGACAGAGGGGGCCCCAGACAGCGCTCAATGCCTGCTGCTTTATTCACACACACAAATCATTTCCACTCAAATGGTCAGTTCAACAATCCAATTGCTCTGCTGAGGCTGAGGGCAGTCTTGCACATTCACTTACCTTAAGGGTCTTCATATAGGAAGACAGGTCACGGACTAACCCATTTGCCTGGTCTCGGCTAAACCTGGGCTCGGAAACAATAGGACGGTCAAAACTTGCAAGACGCTCGCGAGTCACCCCATTAGAATTCAGCGTCTTCCAGTATGCATCCATCTGGAACCCACTGTTAATGAAGTCTATGAGTGCCTGCAATTCATCCAGTCATAGCATGACAAAAGTCACTCCATTTGTTTTGCCATTTGTTTTGGTAGCTTCAAACCAACTAAACAAACTAGACATCTCATCGCCACTCTCCACATTTGATTACAGTTCCAAAACCTCCAGACGTCAAGCCACAACTCGCTTCCACCAGCTGGCCCAGCTCGGTTGGTATGCCACTGAACTGTTGAAAAAAAGACCCGACCAAGTTCGAACTAACCCACTGGAGGCAGATGAGTCAAAATACTGCAATTCTGAATTACCTAGGGCAGGGGGGGGGGAAAAAGAGAGAAAAAGGCCACAAGTTCCACGAGTCGTTTCCCTTATCACAACAGATCCTCCTCCACTTCAACTATCCAAGCTAATCCTAAGGTAAACCAGAAAGATGTTCACTAAATAATGAAGGTTCTCAGGGGAAAAAAACACAGCCGCTGATTGTTTATATAAAGGGGGAGATTGGCCAGGCGATGCAGGGGGTGCTGCTGTCAAACCACCACTACGTTTCCCAGTCCTAACAAACCAAAACTTGCAGGCGATGGTCTAGAGACCACCAGCATCATCTCCGGAGTCCCAGGGGAGAAGTCGCCTTCGCGCATGTGCCACTTGGGAATGACAACGAAAGAAAAGATAGCAAAGAGGCTCTCCCACACCTTCCATACCTGGCAAATAACAACATCATCAGGAGTCGTATTGTTGTGAAGCTTCTGATGCCACTCTTCCATCATCCCTCCTTTGCAGCTATTATTTTGCTGGATATCACAAGACATAAACAGCACCACATTGACTTGTTAATTTGAGAGGTGAGGTGATTACAACCAACACACAGCGATGCGTGCTTCATCCTTGCCTTCTTTCCCAATGCATGCCTCATCCTTTTGCTTCTTTTCCCAACGTGTGGTCCTACGGACTCCTACCTCACCTTCTTTCCCTTTTTCCTCTTGTATGACATGCTTTCTAATCTTAATTGGCCTCTATGATTTGTATAGCTCTCGCACAGATATGGCTTTGCTGGATGCTGACAGAACCAAACAGCCCCACGATAATTTATTAGTTTGAGAGGGGAATCGATTGCAACAACTTCGCACAGAACAATGCATATTCCGTTTTTCGGGAAGTTGTTCTCATTGCACGTCATGTTTTATAATTTCTGCAACTTGTTTAAACTTCGCTTGGAAGATTATTGGTTCTGCTGGATATCATCAGAAATAAAATGCATATAAACAGCACAACAATAATTTGGCGGGCAAGGTGATTGCAACTGATCACATAACAATTTGTGCTTCATCCTTGCCTTCTCTAGCTTTTTCCCCTTGCATAACATGTTTCCTAGTTTTTAATTGCCCCCTGTGATTTGTGTAATAGTGTGACCTGTGAAGCTTCTCAACACCACAAGCGTATATATACATATATATTCAATAGCCCTGGCTAACCCTCATGGTGTGGCATTCTGTCTTTTTACTTTCAAACAAGGAACAAACATAAAATCCGGAATAGGCTTCGTCTCATGAGTCAGTAGTACTCACTACATTTCAATTCTCTCAAGGTGGGGCCAATGTCAACAGTGCAACACTATGCAACCAAGTCAGTATTCACGATATGCATTTTGCGTCCATCACGAACACTGCAAAATACCTTCTCACTTTGCACAGTGTCACCTGCTCATATTACATTACCTAACCTATACATTCAATTTGTGACCGTAGACAATCGGACAGATAGAGCAAGTTTCCTAACCCCCCGACATCACCCAGCCTCCCTCATTCCTCGCCCCGTTTCCAAAATACTCCCTCCAGAGTCTCCACCACCATTACAATTTTGCACCTTTCTCTAGGCTCCCTTTTCCCCATCACTACTCGCAAGTACCGAAACCATTACCTGGGGATGCATGGAAAACACTAGAACGTTGAGCAGACTGGTATTGGCAGACCATGCACAGGCACAACCAGTGCCTCCTTCGGTGTACTGCATATATATTATATTCCCTCAAATGGCAGCATGGTACCTACCGTAAGGTGTTGACAAACGGGTGGAAATGGAAAGTAAAGAGGTCCGGGTCCAGCAGGTGCGAGGTCAGCCAGTGTCCAGTCCAATCCACTGGGTTCATTGGTTATGTGGCCCTTATGCCACAAACCGGATTAAGATTGGCAACCAGAGGGTTACAACCTTCGGAGTTCTACGCGTTGTGGTGGTTTACGTGACCTATTCATCCTGCTCTACTAAAATGCCAGCTTAGACCACCAGTACCTTGGACCCTTCTCCGGCACCCTGACAGTGTTTCCATCACTCGTGTATTGAACCCATTCCACCAGTACAAGGCCCCAGTCTTGTGAAGAAATCTTTCAGGCCAGTGAAAGTCCGACGAAACAGCAACTGTCCCACATAGTCGTGGCTTTTTTTGTGGAAATGTTCACACACACACACACACACACACACACACACACACACACACACACACACACAGAGTGAAGTGATGAGTCGGTGAAAGTCGGGCACAGTCGTATTTCTTTTTGTGGACTTGTGTATAGCGAACAGGAGAACATCCTATGGAAATTTCAGGAGCCCGGGGCTACCAGACCACAATGGCTGGCGGCGCCAGCCAAAAAGGAAAAGAAGCGCACACTTCATGTTGAAGAATAGCACAGTAGGCGGCCTCCAGGCCAAGGCGTACCCGTGAGGTCCAGAAATTAGTCGTAAGTCGTGGTGACTGACAAACCGGGAATGCAACATTTCTAGAGAAAAGAATTCACACCATGATTGCTATACTACAACCCTCGAGTTTCCATCGTATCAGGACTCGTATTTCACCCTCAGGCTGTAGCATCACATATGGCAGAAAGGGCTGAATGCCGTTTGACAAACAAACACCCCCAGTCTGAACAGAAGACAAGCCATTGTTCATGAACATGAAAGCTCGGTAGGCGTCGCATACCTGGATCACAAGAATTTCATCACGTATTCTCTGTCCAACATCTCCTTGTCCTCCACGGCCTACCGTGCTCAGCATCATCCGCGCAAGCTCCCTAAAATGGGGCTGCTCAACAAATAGTTGCTGCAGCCCATCCGTCAACCGATCTTGTGCAGCACTCAGCTCCCTGAAGGAAGAAACCACATTGATTCACAAATTACTAAGTTGACGTTAGCAAGTTAAAAATAATTGAAGCTCCAAACTGCCCCAGGCCGCAGACCAAAAAAGAGTTCTTTATTAGAAACCCAGGAGCTGAATTCTGAATTCCTCACCTTTGGTAAGCCACATCAAGCCTGAGAAATCTTGACAGCTTGAGAATTAATCCAACAAGAAAGAACAACGAGGCAGACAAGAATCATTACAGAGATAGAGATAAATGGGTGTGCAAAAGACATTAAACCACCAGTACTTGGCCCAGCTATTGGCCTCGGCGCTTCCCCGTTAATGTGCCGCAGATTTAGGGCTTCGGGGTACCGGACCTCAATGGCTGGAAGCGCCAGCCAAAAGAAAAATGAAATGGTACCCCGTAGCTTCAGCAGAAATCGGCACGCAGGGGGATTCCAGGCTCGGCACCGATAGCTGGGCCAAGTACTGGTGGTTTAACAACAATAAAATGGGGATACCGATAACTGGATATGGCTGGCCAGGGTGCAGAATGGCACATGTTAGATTGTCAAGAAGTACATAATACCATTCATAATGCTTGATATCAACATAACTTCATTGATAAGTAGTAACTACCTTTGTTTTCTTTCTCTTTTTCTTTTCTGACCAACCAAATCGCTTTTTTATCCTAAAATCTGGCAACAGGTTCCAGCGTCTCTTACATCATTTACCCACTCAACGCTTCCCTCCGTTATGGTCACTGAGAGGTGGAGGCTTTTTTCCTATTACCAGAAAGCATGTACCACCCCTCCCCCCGGTTATCTTTTCCCCTCCTACCTTAATTATTCTGCTCTATGACCACACAACCTCTCTAGCGGAAGACTGCTGTTTCGAGGAGGGTCTGTCCATTTCCTGGCTCAAATTATCAGCCTGCTTGGTTATATCCGAGGAACAAAGCCAGTGATCCTGTGCTCGGGCTCTCTCTCTAACTTCCAAAACATTAGATTCCTCCCTGATCTTACTATAGGAAAAGTTTCCTTGATCTGTTAGTTGAACTTAGTTGATTTGTTAGGCCCAATTGATTGCTGCCTATTACTAAATGTATCACCCGTAACCTCTGTTGTCTTTTCCCCTCCTACCTTAATTATTCTGCTCTATGACCATAGAACCTTTCTAAATTCTAACAGAAGACTGCTGCTTCGAGGAGGGTCTGTCCACTTCCTGGCTCAAATTATCAGCCTGCTTGGATTCATCCGAGGAACAAAGCCAGCGATCCTGTGTTCGGGCTCAACTTCCCGAACATTAGATTCCTCCCTGATCTTAATACAGGAAAAGTTTCCTTGCATCTTGTAGGCCCGATGAAGATCCTGATCCTCCATCGTTGAAGTTGCTTGTAGTCTCATTACAAGCTCGAAGGCGTAATTGAATTCCAATCTTTCCTCGGCTGAATCTTTTCTTGACTTTTTGTTCCCTCTGTGGCTGTCGTTGGATGGAGAGTTTTGCTTGCGTCTACTTGCACCTGATTTCTGCCTCCAACTCCTTAGTTGTTGCCCAGTCATGCCTGAAAGCAGCACACGAAAGTCGAAGGATGGCTTCGATGAAGCGGCAGAAGGTCAGGTTGGGATAACGGACTTCGTGAAGCCGGTCCCATTCCGGGCCCCATACGTTACTGTCCGTACCTCTCGGATTTCTTGTCTTGTACCAAGTAATGCGGCATCTTTCCTCACACGTTCGATACATAGGGTAACTTTTCTGAATATATCGAACCACTCTTTCAGGCTTGTACAAAAAAAGAAAAAAAGAAAAAGAAAAACGTTGTAAACAAACGTTGGGATGGGATGCTAGTCCATAGTAGGATCCGATCTGGCTTCTCAGGGAAGGGGGTGGAGAAGAGGCGGGTCCATAAGTCACCTGCCCTAGCCCAGTATTCTGTTGTCTCCCTACAGCTAATGAGGCAGCGATAGATCTCGTTTTATTTATCAAGATGTGTTTCCTGATCATAGCACACTGCACAAGTGTCAGAGCTGTTGGCATCAGTTCTTTCCCTCTTTTCATGTAGCCACCTAGGCTACCAGCCAGGCCGTTCGGGTCACCCTATTTTCCCGGGTGGCCCGGCCGTGAAAGGACGAGGGAAGGTCCTAGCACAAAAAAAAAAAAAGAGACGGAAAAAAAGGCAGAAAAATAAACTGAACAACTTTTGCATCAGGGTCACATTGCAATTCTTTCCCTTGTTTTTTTTTTTTTTTTTTTTTTTGGCCCGGCCGGGCAAGTGGTCCCGGGCCAATCTGGTAGCCTAGGTAGCCAATGATTTACTGAAAGGGCTACATATGTTATCACAACTTATCGGCAATTGTAGCTTCTGATTTTGATCAGTCTTATTGTTTTTTCTTTTTTCACTTTTTTTTAATATAAAAAGCCATCTTCTCCTCATCCGGGCACATCTGTATATTTTTTTTTCCTCTCAATTTTTCACACTTTACACCATCCGGTGAGGTGCAGGGTCTTCGGGTGATGACAGACGTTCTTTGAAATGCCTCCCATGCCCGTAGGGTTGTCGATACCAACAGTCCGCAGGGTTCTTCTTGTGGCGTAAGTAGATGATTGACATCTTTGGTCTTTGTTGGATGTGTGGACTGCTTTGTCTATGCTCCCCTCTGCAGCTAGTGAACCCAAAGTGAGGACGTGATCAGTCTTATCATTTTAAATCTCGTTCCACCAACTTCCACGGCATTCTTGTTATCTTGTTGGCAGCTGCTCCTTCCACCTCTTACCATCCTTTCCATATCATTGGGAGCGGGCCTCTTGTATTGCTAAACATTTTGCAACCTAGCTTGACCGAGTAGACCTGTATTGGGATTGGTGCTCTGTGTTTCCCTGATTGGGTATTCTGCCAGGCCCAGACCTCGTACACCAGTGTTCGCTTGGAAAACTGTCGTAGGGTCTGCTCCTATGATTCTTACTTTGCATAGCGCATAGGTTTCTAAAACGGTTCCTTGAAGATTCGTCTTCTTTAACGTCTTTATCACCAGGAAATACGTTCCATAATAATTTAGGGAAAGATGTGTAAAAACAGTCTTGAAGTCTGAGAAGGTAATACTGCATGGGGGGAAGTGTGGGTTCAGTTTCCTGATTTCTTTTTTTTTTTTTTTTTTTTTTTCAGTTTCCTGAATTTGTACTCCCCGGTCTCCAACTTTCCATGAGAAGCTTTTGCTGAGCAAGCTCTCTCCATATTTATGGGATACTTCTGATCATTAGTTGCAGATTATCTGCTATGCAATGGCATCCTGTGATGTGTTCGCAGCTCCTTCACAGTAATTCAATCAACGGCATCCAATCTTTCCTCCCTTCGTTCCATATCTGAATGACTTTCCATACCCCTTTGGAGTTCGATCAACGATTTTCTCTGGCCGTTAGGGACCATTTGTGGTTGCTTTCGCCTTCGATTAGTTACCGCTTTCGCCTTCGATTAGTTACCAAATAACGGTTGCCTTAAAACTTTCTTCCTTTGTTCTGGGTCTGCATATTTTTTTGTGGGAAGATTTCTCTCCAGATTTTGACTAGGGTGCTAGCATGGCCAGGAGGCCAAGTCCCCACCTACACAGGGTTCTCTCTGACGTGATCTTCTTCCCATTTCGGCGCTCCATCCATTCTTTGGTCGTTCTTAAACCTTCTTCCTTAGTTCTGGGTCTGCATGTTCTTCGTGGGAACATTTCTCTCCAGATTTTGGTTAGGGTGGTAGTATAGCCACATTGGCCGGGAGGCTGAGTCCCCACATACAGAAAGGTCTCTATGACCTGGTCTTCTTCCCGTTTCGGCACCCCATCCATTCTTTGGTCCTTACCTGGAACAGGCCTGACATAATTATCAGGGGTGTAGGTGATGGAGTAGGCACTGTAGTAGCTATATGTCTTAGGCTCTCTCTCGCCAGGTTGCCCCAAGGAAGATCTTGTGTGCATGACAAGTTTAATAATCTTTATGAACTTTTATCTGCAGCTCTTTCATTTGTTGTTTTGCCCTTTTTTGAATCGGTAACTCCCAGACCACCTCCTGTCCGTTTGCGAAGAATGTAATGCCAACATCACCAAGCGATTTTCGGGAATAACATTTTGTCTACTTGGAGGCCACATATAGCCGCGGGCTCAACGACGAGTTGTGAAGTGACTGATCCAGCATGGCCCAAATCGATGTTATATACCATGGCATTAAGAATACTGACACATTGATGACCATTGCCCTGCCTAAGAGTGAGGTAAAGGATTGCCCCCATCTGCCCATTTTGTTGATTGCTTTTGGAAGGAGGTTCCCAGCCATCTGTGGCATTAATGACCATTGCTCTGCCGAACCATCTGTGGCATTGATGACCATTGCTCTGCCTAAGAGTGAGGTAATGGATTTCCCCCATCTGCCCATTCTGTTGATTGCTTTTGAAAGGAGGTTCCCAGGCATCTGTGGCACCAGTCTATCTATAGTCACTAAGCCCATCTGGGGTGGGCTAACATAATCTTGATGGCGATTCTGTCCTGTTTCAAGTGCTTCGGTTTTCCGGTCCGCCCATTTGGGGTGGGCTAACATACCTCCGCCTATGTAGTAACATACCTATATCAATGAGTAGAGAACTTTGTCGGCATTTCTTTCCAATTTTGTCAATCAATAAATACGGATGAAAAGCATGACCTGTGCAGCCAGGTCCTGCATACGGTAGTGAGGGATTAGCAGCTTGCAATCATTCATGCAATCCATGGAAACACTGCAACACTGCAACTTTCCTTAACCATTTGGCCCTGGTACGCGATGTGGTTGCTAGTTGAGGAGACTTGGATATTGTTGCGCCGCCTCACTTTCCGTCGAACACCACACCATTTGCTCGCAACATATAAACGGTGTTTTTAATTTTTAAAGGCTTTACGATCTTCCAAAGTGTAATAAACTTTAATGCCGAAGTAATTGTCAATTAACCAGACAGCGTGCGGCAAGGCAGAAAAACTGTCAAGACTCTCACCTAGGTTTGACGTTGTAGTTCTTGTTCCATATCAATTGTCGTGTCGCCATGAAGCGCAGCCAAATAAACACAGCCGCAAGTGCCAGCTCTCCTTCACTCTTTGCAGCCTGAAGGAATCCTGCAGCAAGGTTGAACCTTCACATCACATTACAAACACGGAAATAGTTCGTCAACTGTAGTGTCCATCAACTGTAATGTCTGTTGAAGTCTTCCACATCTCACTGCAGCTAGTGAGCAAAACGAGAAATTGGGAAAATTGCAACATTTCTGCAGGCGTCAACTTTCCTGCACTGTTTGCCAACTCACGAAATCTTCCAAGTATACTCAGACACAGGCTAGCAGCTCATTAATTAGTAATTACCATATTGTCTATGGTCAAAGTTGACCATCAAACCCTTCAGATAGCCAACTCACGAAATCTTCCAAGAATACTAAGACACAGGCTAGCAGCTCATTAATTACCGTATTGTCTATGGTCAAACCCTGCAGATAGCTTGACTGTGCAAAAAGGGAGAAATGCATCGCTCAGCTGAAACTGCTCTGCACGTAGATAACATAACGACCAGCAACAACACGAACTTCAGGTAAGTCGGTCAGTGCTAGACTGAATTTTTCTCCCACTTGCTCACCTCTTCGTCTTCTGTGAGGAGAGAGAGAGAGAGAGAGAGAGAGAGGGAATGCTGCTCCTCTTCTCTTCACCTCCCAAGTCCCAAGTTACTACAAACCTTCACAATCTCAGAAGCACTAGAAGGCAGATGCCATGATGCTCAGTGAAGTCCACCTCGTTTTTTTGGGAGAAAAAAGGAAAACAGAAAAAATGGCCTCCCACAATACGCCCGGGGAAGGAGACTCATAGGCAAACAGGACTTAGTTTGTTAGAGATTTCAGGAGACTCATAGGTGTTCCAGACTGCTCTAGCATAACACACCAACCAGACAGCATCACGGCTGAGAGGAGCGGGACTGGGGTCAGACAGATTGGCAACAAACAGGCAGATTAAATAGCACAGGCTAACTTAGGCAGGGGCGAGGGGTGGTACATCCTTCCCCAGGGAAGTAATCAATGCCGTCCACTCGGGCCTCCCAGATATAAAGGGGAGGAGCGTGCGTGAGTCTCCCATGTATTCCATATCGACTTGCCGGGGGAATAGGAACCGGACTGTCGCTCCCCGGAATGGTAGGAGCCAGAACCAAACGGTTCTGTTCTTTTGTTAAAAAAAAAAAACAATACGCCCGGGCCTGTATTACCAAACCGATGTGCCCCCTGCATGCCGCTTTTGCCGAGTCTCGAGGGTGCGGGAACCGCTAGGGGAAATCTGTTGGATGGCACCATTACCGCCGTCTATGCTGGACCTGCTGCCAGCAGCTGGAACAAAAGGCAGCGGTCATTTTCTCGTTGTCACTCATGTGCCACCCCAGGCCTAGCGGGAGTGCAGTCAGATAAGTTCCAGAAAGTGCTACCATGAGAATGCCCTGAAATGAACGAGGAAAAAGGAAAAAACTTGAAAAAAGAAAAAAACAGCCTCCCACAGACTCACAGTACACCCAGGCATGTTTTACCGAACCGACCCACAACCTGCACGTCTAGTTTTACCAAGCCTGGAGACGGCGGGAATCGCTAGGAAATTTGTTGGTTGGTACCACTACCGCCCTCTATGCTGGACCGGCTGCCAGCAGCTGCCGTTTTCTCGTTTTCGCTCATGTGCCACCCCAGGCCTTTCCAAAAGTGCTCTCGTGCAACGTACGTAGTTCACAAACATCCACCATAGAGCTCGTTATTCAATCCGTGCATTTTTCACATAGAATGGCCCCGGCAAACATCCTATTGTCACATCCTTTCCGGTCCTACAGACTTGTGCGATACTTAACATCACTGCATTCAATCTACGCATAGATAGGAGAATAGACATACCTGTGCATCAGCGAACGTTCAGCATCACTCTCGGAATCGGCAATCTGGTCAAGGAGCCACTTGCAGGTACCTTTACCATCTGAAACATGCTGGAACAATAGCAGCACAAAATACCAAAAACTATTTTAGAAAAATGTCAAGTTTGCTCAGCAATACCTACAGTAAGCCCCAGAAACCCCGCCCTTATGCCCGAACGATGAACAGATCCAGAGTTCACATCCGTATCACAAATGTGAACCTCGATTCGTGGTACCGACTTCAAAGGTCAGAGCTTGAAAATCACAGTTCCAAAAAATAGTGGTTGTAGTCTGGTACAGTGGTGTACTGTTTTGATAGACAACCCCTCGACATGGAAGTTCACATCAAAAGTGAAATCCTGCATCAAAGACAGTGTCAGAGATTCAGATAACAGCATAGTTTCTCAAAACACAATTCCAAGCTACGGAAATTTGGGAATGGTGTGAAAATTAATCCTGCAAGCACTGAGCGGCCAATTTTAGGATTGATGAAAAGATACGATCTGGACCTTAGGGTTACTTTCTGTCAACAAGACGTATCAAGATTCGCAACATGGCCAGACTGATGCTCCCCCAGCATGGAAAGGAGAGAACAGCATGGTTCTGTTTTCCTATATATATCGTCAAATAGAACTGCACGGTAAACCGTAGGCAGAGAGGGAGAAGAAAAAGATTCACAGCATGCAGTGGCTTATCGTCTTCTAGCGGTAAACATCTGGCAGCACAAGCACAGGAAAACACTCAGATCCAAATAGCACAGATATCCCACGCAAGATGCCTGCATACAATTGACAAGGATCACTCACGAAGAGATAGGAAGCTTGGTCCTAAACGACAGGACAATAGCAATCAAGATCAGGTACAGAGGAGGAGGGGGGGGGAGGGGGAACAAAAGAATCACGTGCAGGTACCTGGTTCAAGGCGCTGCAGCTACTCATCCCTCCCCACACTTGCCTGACCGCATCCCGTTTGTCAATTACAAACATGCCATCGATTGTGGCATTGAACACAATCAAACTCTCCAGAAAACTCAAGCCCGCAAAAAGTTTAGATCCAAGAAGAGGACTCCCTTCAAGGAGTGGTTGATGGGAATCAAAATTCCAGGTGTCGATGACAATTTTCGGAGATAAAAACGGGAAGGAACCGTGGGTGAAAAAGACGGCAGATGAACAGAAAAGTAGCAAGGCTACCGAACATCGAAAACTGGAATGGACGACTGGGCCCCCAGTTAATCAGGCCCGTAATCATAAAGTAATCGAGCCAGCCTTCTCTAAATTCTCTTCATTAATGATAATGTTTTGATAGTCACCGATGGGTGTTTACGGAGACGGAGTTCAGAAGACCGGTACTGGAGCAATCAATGAATGCTGTTCAGGGTTCCTTGAACTGTGTCATATGATGTATTCTTCAACTTGCCTGAAGACTGGAACCGGAGTAGTGGCGGTCCCCAAGATGGACAAGAAGGACGACAAGGGCGTGTGAAGCCGTGCAAAATCTATCGTAGACGACTATAATTATTGTTGTTAGTTCGAGTTTGAATTGCACATAAAACACCCAAGACGAGTGTGAAGCAGCGCTTCCGTCCCGCAACCAACGAACATTTACTTCTATTCCTCCCGCTCTTGAATTCGCAATCTTTAAAACAGGTAGATAAGGTTCTGGTGGTGAACCTCACCAGAGCACAATAATTACTGTTACGAGTTCCGAGTTTGAATTGAACAAAAAAAAGAGCCTGCAAATGGCTGGCCGGGACCGACAGCTACAGGCAGGTCTGGCTAGCCCTTCTCCCAGCCGGCCAGGTGTGGCCAGGTGATGGGAAGATGGCCCTGCGCCAGGTTGGGGCCAATTGTGGTGTGGCGGGTGAGGGTAGTGAAAAAAATGCCACCTATGGGCAGGTGCAGGTGGGATTGTGCTCAAGGACCTCGGTGAGGGCAGGTGGTGAAAAATATGTCTGGGTCTGGCCAGGTCGGGCTGCAAGTCTTCTTCAAGGTCTGGGCTCAAGTGGGCCCAGGTTTGCACGCTCAAATTGGGCCCAGCTGTGGCTGGGTCAAGTTGTGAGGATTTCTAAACCGCAGTTATGGCTGGCTGCGGCTGCCAAATATTATGGATGTCCAATACGGGTCGGTTGTGGCTGTAGGAGAAGTAGGAGTTTGCGAGCTCTGACATAAAACATCCAAGACAAGTGTGAAGCCGAGCTTTTGCCCCGCAATCACAAACATATACGACTACTTAGTATTTCCCCTCTCCCAAATTCGCAATCTTTAAAGTTTAAAACAGGTAGATAAGATCTAAGGTTCCGGTGGCGAGCCTCACCTGAGCAACTGAGCTAGGGGGTGCCAAAGGTGCATGGAAATCAGCGAAATTCTTGTCCTTGAACCATTCACTCCCCCTCCGAACGACAAATGAAAGGCCGGTGTAGTCAGACGCCTCAGCTTCAGGTATAACCAGCTCCACTGACTGTTTCCAGTTAAAACAAGACAGATAACACAACCAGGTCACCCAGCCAATTCACATTACAAGTTACCACAGGGCCACAGGCAGCAATTGATCCAAAGCACAGCCCCGCATCAACAACCAAACAGAGTCAGGCACCAACCAATTCAAAGCAGAGTTTCAGATTACAATCAGCACGAGACTTCCACTAGACAGATTGAGCTAAGTGGGTTGCACCGATAGGGTCGTACGAATAAGGGGAGGCATTCGGAGAGGTTACTGTGGGACAAGAAGAGTTGGGAGATTGACAGAGTAACAGGCAGGTCTGTAGGGCGACGCTCCGTTAGGCGGAGAGAATAAACGCAGCCATGTCAGATGTTCACTATTAGCCTATTAGGGTCAATGCAGAGTTTGGGGACGCGTTTTGTTCCTTTGCTCTGTATGGTGGTTAGCATCCTGTACGGTTCACTGTCTTGATATCACGCCGAAGGTTTTCACTTTCACGAAGGGAAGTGATGGTCGCTGGGACTGTGAGCCTTCTCGTGGACACATACTTTCTACCCTATTGGCACTGGAAGTGATGGTCGCTGGGCCTGTGAGCCTTCTCGTGGACACATACTTTCTACCCAATTGGCACTCTAAACTTTGAAAGGGCGTGCACGCCACCTGGCCTTGTGATCCCCTAAGATCGGAGGCGATCGCAACAACAGAGGTTCTCGTGTGTGGCGAGATAGCAGGCAATCCGAATTGAAGTTTCTGGTGGACAAGAATACAAAGTGTGTCAAGGCGCAAACGCACGTGCAACTTGGGGGTCATGTCACAGTGCAGTAGGCTCCGAGCTAACTGGGTTGCGCTTCATGCAAAGAATCTCTTTTCCCACGTCTCCATTTCTGATTCATTTGTTTTGATTTCCTTCTTTCTTCGTACCCGTTCAGCTTTGCATTTCAAGAATCAGACGCCATAAAGCCAAATCACATTGGGGACTATTCCGGAGCCTATAGACAATTTTCAGTAGGTAAGGCCTCAGGACCAATCATTGTGCAAGAAAACAGCTAGACACACACGGAAGACCTTGATTTGTGTTTAGCAGATTTAGCCTCACATGCAAGGTTGGGCAGAAGACACAAAGCACGCATAATTCCAGTACACTCCACACTCGGGCCTTGAAACAGGGAAATGCCAGACACAACTGATTGTCAGTGAATGCTGGCTTACGTGCCATGGGGCACATGACCCTAAAAATTTATAATCATGTGGCAATGCAGCAAAGAATGGAACAACATTCCAAGAACCCGTAGACACCAGTCACTAGATCGGAGACACCTGAGGCAAAATATAGCACAGTGAACATGATAGTGTCCATGGCATGCACACTGTATTTAGTAATTTACGCTTCTCGCCTCCTGCCATATAATTAGACTGGGCATGGCAGCAAGATTTTGTTCCATTCTTGTTGTTGGATAAGCATAAGCAGTGGCAACAAGCCAGAAGCATCACTAGATAGCCTGACCTGGACCCAGTTGCTATTCAAACACCAGATCGATTTCACGGGCAAAAAAAAAAACAAGTTAACCAACAGGATTCGTGAATTTTTTTATTTTTATTTTTTTGACAAACCTGAAGTGATAAATCTCCTGCAAATCCTCTCTTGAAGTGCGTCTCGCATGATCCTCCTGCAGTCTCGAAAGTCCCCTCTGGTCGCAAGCCAGTTGGCGGAGTCTATACAATGTATACATAGCATACAACCAATAAAATTCAGTCACCCAGAAACAGCAGGGCATGGGCACAAGCACACAGGAAGCAAGCAAAACAGCAACAGAGATATACATCAGACAGTTTTCATAAGTAAAGACAATCTCGCGGCGTAAAATAAACAAATATGTTAGGGCGTATCAATGAACTAAAAGAGTGCACTTTGCAAAACAACGGTTAAAATAAGAAAACAAGACCAACATGAAGGGCTCACTGAAACCATTCACTATGAACTAAAGGAGTGCACTTTGCGAAACAAACAGTAAAAATAAGAAAACAAGACCAACGTGAGGGGATCACTGAAACCATTCATTTTTGTCCTCCTCCTTTTAGCTCCCCCTTCACCGTGCCTCTCACGTACAAGGCCCGGCACATTGATGAAGTTGAGTGTGAGCTGCCTGCATCCCCATGTGCTATAACGGCCCACTTGTACGCTGTGAGAACTATGTACATTACATCGTCAGAAAGAACTACTGCAGGAGCCTTCGGCAGAGAGGGAGAAGAGGACAACAAACGAGCGGCTGTGACAAGAGTTTCGTCGGAGTTTCACCGACTCGTCAGTATAACCATAGGCAGGGAGGGTGAAAAGGACAACAAATGAGGGGTGGCAGACTCTTTCATCACAAGTGGAAGGGTAAATTTTGCATGAAAACAGATTTTTGCCCTAGGGTTTGGACTCCGTTTGAGCCTCCTTCCTTTTTTCATTTTCACTGTTTTTATTTGCTATAGCTTATTGGTTTATTTGCTGTCCACACTATGGATTGGTGACAACTTTGGTTCAAAAGGTGTGCGAGTATTCTTAAAAAGACCATGAAAAAATCCCGGAGATTCAGGGCTCCGTTAACCGCTTCTCATCAGAAGGCTGAACGCTCTACAGTCTGCAGAGTCCCCTAAACAATGATACTGCATGATAATCCACCCTAACCCCGCTTCTCACCAGAAAGCTGAACGCCTCTACTGCTGACTCCTACACCAAAAACACTAAGCCTGCCTACTACTCCTACACCAAAAACACTAAGCCTGCCTACTACTACACCAAAAACACTAAGCCTGCCTACACCGTGAACGACCTATCATGTAATCCAACACCCCATGGCTTTCAAAACAACCAAAAGACCTGCTCCCACAACCCTCTAACATCCCCAGGCCTGCTCCAACCCAACAGTACCTGAAACATTCCCAATACCCTGGCATCCTGACCCCTACCCATCCCTCCACTCTAGTCCATGTAAAATCCAGAGACCTCCGTGACTGTGCCTACCCGTCCCTCCCCAAGCCCACCCAGACAGCGGCCACCCTCCACCTAATCCTTCTACTCACACACACACAAACACACACACACACACAAACAAAGGGCCTACATCAGCATGCCAGACTCGTAGGTATGTATATCGTGAAATCCATCACGGTCCCTTCAACTATCGGTCAGAAGTCTAGAGGTGAGAAACTACTGTTCTGAAATGGAGTGGGACTAACGGAGGGTCAGATACGTAGTGTGGTATGACACATGATATATCACATTTGATCTTTCAAGCTGGGCTAACAAAAGGACATGGTATCACATCCAAGGGATTCAAACACTGGATCTTTACCGCAGCGACTTGGATTCCTCAACGCATCAAATCTCTACCAAGCACGAGAGGATATCGTGAGATGACACGACTACATCCTCGACATGTAACGAAGTTGCGAAGAAATCTCTGGGTACTACCGTTGGGGTCAGTATGGCATGGCTAGACAAGGCATGAGGCATACATGGTGTGATTATGGTGTGAGCGATTTGCTGACGACTTATACGAGGTTAGGCCGTGGGGACTGATTGGTGGAAGGCTGATTGTATTCATGCAAAGTGGCTGAAATGACCATCTGAGCAGGAGGCAGAAAGATGGTCGCGATGATAAGTCGCATGCCATGCACTTTTGTGTGTTCACTGTGGAGTACAAAGCCTCACGCACACTTCGTATATGTTGGTGATCTCTCTCTCCCTCCCATGCTGCTCATGCTCCAGGCATCTTCCTCTCTCTGGCCTTCTCTCACACTCGAGCTCTCATCGCCTACAAAGGCTAATGCCAAAATCTGATCTTGTGACTTCTCACAATCCTTGTACGGATTGCGCTCCACTTGCCTCGTCACTGTGCGCAACCACGCTCCGAAGCCCGCACCTGCGACACAAGTGTGACCTCTACCTACCTGTGGCAGCCGTGCTATGACGGCCACTCGTCTACATTCCCTAGCTGCGTAAGGTCATTCTGCTATTGCTCCTGCACAGGCCACTATCTTAGAGGTCTCCTCCTCAAAGAACCTTTGACAAGCACAAGCCCTACCTCCTTCCTCATCCCTCTCCAACTCCTCTACCTCTCCTACCTTCTCTATGGGAGCCAGAGGCAGACTCTTTGATGAGCCATTACTACACGGCGAAAAGCTTCAGGGACTGCACCCGCCCTCTCTGATGGCTGATACACCATCACCAGATAGCTTAGGCTATCATAGCTCCCACCCTCCTGGCCTCCCTTCTTTTCTCTCTCCATCACCCTCTCCTGCTGGCTTCATCAGCAGTGTAATCAGGTACCTCGAGACAGACCAAGACGCTCATCTTTCCTTGCTCTCTTCCTGACTTGCGACGATTGAGAGGTTTTCCCCATACGGTCATGCATGAAGTCACGAAGATGGTATGAAGCTGTCTGTTTCCCTCTCGTTTAGGGATTGTGTTTCCACGCAGCAAGGTATGTAAAAGGGGTAGAAGTCCCGACAGAAAGTAGCATAAGTGATGCCTGCTTCACAGCTGACTACCATTCACCCAGAGGCTACAACTGCGATCCGCACACAAAACCCTCTCCAATTCCATGCCCTTCTGTAAAGAATACCTAGCACAGACGTGGATAGAGGCAGGTCTCAGAAGTGTGCTTCGTGCTCGCCTGCTAAGGCGCTCCCAACCCTCGTCAACATCGGAATTATAACATCCCGCCATGACGAAATGCACAAAGAACTTGAAAGAAGGCCAGCATTGTTGACAAGTGTGGAACACGCCATGGCATCAGTTTAAGGAAGCAGATCAAAAAGATCGAAGCGATCCAGCACTCGAGGTTCTTTTGTGAATTTGCGGCAAGTTCTCTGTCAAGAGACAAGCTGTGGGCATATGGTTATGCCTGGAATGCAGAGCGGTCACGGCCTGCGCAGCGACACTCTTCACACTGCAAGTGCAGTGAGAGTAATAGTACCACCTTCTCCGTTTCTCTCTGGCGGTCGTGTGTGACAGCCTCATCATTTCTGTGGGCATTCCACGGTATGATCCTCTGCAGCTTGCGCACATTATGAGGGGTAATGGCAAGCTAAACAGCCCACGGGGGGGTTTGAAGGATGGGATTGCATGATGGATTCAGCCCAAGCTGTTGGCCGGTTGAAGAACCCAGTGTGCGGAGGGCGTGAAAGGGATGGAGAATCAGGAGCCAAAGTGGACGGAATCTGAGATTGTTAGCTCACTGGTTGGGGGTTGTGTATTTGTGGTGTTAGATGGGTCAAGGTAGGGCGGGTGCTGGGATTTTCAAGGGTTGTTTATAAACGAATTATATGCAGAATGTTGTACTTGACAATAACTAAAAGTTCTAAAAAGAATCGTTCACAGCGAATGCAGTGGGAGTAGGCTTGAAAAGTTGAAAACTGGTTTTCTGATCATACACTACAATTGATAGAGTTGTCCAGAGAAAAAGCACCAATATCTCACCTTTTTCTTTTTTCTTTTTTCTTTTTTTCCTTCTTTTTTTAAGCATAACCTCCTGGTTCTAGCCCCTACCATTCTGGGAAGCTCCCACCATTCTGGGGAGCAACAGTCCACCAATATCTCACCTTCCATACTTTCATTTTGTCTTTTGTCATGCCCCAGTGAAGTATCAACTCTTCCTGAGAATCACTTGCAATGTGCACCCTTACTTCTCCTCCATGATTTGTCACCAAAATCTGGTACCAATGAAACAGCACAAATACAGAGGATAAGACTACTAAGAAGCACACTGAGGCAAGTCAATCCACCAATTTACAATTTTGAAGCCCGCCCTCCATTGCAGACTGCATGCATACTCTGGTAAACAAAAAAAACAAAAGCAAAAAACACAAAAAAAAACTTGGCAAATTACAGAAAAAAAAAATAATAATAAATAAACTTGGCAAATTACAGTCATTGAACAGGGACATGGACTCGCGGAATATAAATAATAAACATGAAACCAGGAAAAAACTTCTAAAAGGTCATTGCCAATGCCAGTGGTCACCAAGAAAACAACACTGCATGGTGGAAGCCAAAATGCCATTGCACATAGGACGTCAGTACAGCGAACACCATTATATTGGTGTGACTAAGAATGTCCATCAGGCAAAATTCTCATCAGCGATCTTGCTCAGTGTGAAAGAGGATAACTTCAAAGCCCCAAGATGTGCACATCATAATCAGTGATCACATTTTGGAGTATGTGCGTCTCTTCCACATTTCTACCATTTTCCCAACAGACACAATTTCCTTCTATCACTCATAGAAAGTTAGCAATTCCACTACATTCTGCAAACCAACCTCAGTATTCAAGAATTAAACTTATGATGGGAACTGTGTAAAAAGAAGACAGAGTGAAGGAAAGAGGGGGACCTGAGGGGAGTGTTGAGGGGGAGGATTAAGTGCAGACGATGGAGGGTAGAGGAGTTGATGCAGAGCCAAACTGGAAGCACAACACCCCCAACCCACTTCAGGAGGCTGGTAAGTAGTATTGAAAAAACGGCGAGTGTTGAGAGGGAGGTTTAAGTGCAGACGATGAAGGGTACAGGAGTTGCTGCAGAGACAAACTGGAAGCACAACACCCCCAAACCACTTCAGGAGGCTGGTAAGTAGTATTGAAAAACCGTCAGATGAAGCCTCAAAGATAACAAGGACACTATAAGAGTATAGAGTACTTTAGACTCTAAAGAGCCAGCAACCAGACTGGTGCCTCCTGGAGTAGATGGGGTATATGTGTTGTGCGAGGGGGAAAAAAGAAAGAAAGCACAAATGGCGGAGGTTCCTACCCAAGACACACAGTCAAGCACTTCCCAGGTACGCTTTTTCAGTCCCATAGATACTAAATGAGAGACATAACACCGGCAGATGAAGCGTGGGTACTGCTCAAAGATAACAAGGACACTATTAAGAATATAGAGTACTATAGACTCTAGAGTGGCAGCAACCAGACTGGTGCCTCCTGGAGTAGATGGGGTATATGTGTTGTGCAAGGGAAAAAAAAGAAAGAAAGCGCAAATAGCGGAGGTTCCTACCCAAGACACACAGTCGAGCACTTCCCAGGTACGTTTTTTCAGTCCCGTAGATGCTGGACTCTGCATCTCACTAGGACTGCTCACCCCACAGAAAGAAGGCTGGGTGTTGTCTGGCTTGTTGCTTTCGCATGGTGATGGGCGTGTATTCCTCCTCTTGTCCTCTCTCTCTATCTCAAGGCTTTGTTGTTCAACTTGCTTTCCATGGAGGAGTAAAAGCTGGCCGCCGAGACCAGGGTTGTGTCTGAGCGGAGTTCAGAGTCCCAGAAGGGACCGCAGAGGTCCGCTAGGACCAGAAAGGTCAGACCGGAGTCTTCAGACTCTTCGGGAACAAGTTTCACAGACCGGAGTAGTAGTATAAAAAAACAGAGGCAACATACAACGGGGCCTGAAGAAAACTCATGGGAATTCAGAGAAACGAACATACATACCAGGAGCTTCGAGCCAGGCGGCAAAACATGTGTTTTCTTCAAAACCACCACACCCTGATCGGCTCCCTCCATGACTTGCGCTCCCAGATCCAGAGGCGATAATTCTCCCACAGGTCCTGGTGGTCCTTTCAGGACCTCTGCAGCCTCCTCATCATCTGTCTTCCTCACTACACGCTTCGCATGTCGATTAACTATCTCGTCCAGGTTCCAGTTCTTCCGCTGAATCCTCCGCGAACCACCCTTCCTGCCAAGAGGAGGCGCAGTGGTCCCACTATCTGGCTTGTTTGACATGGCGATACCATCTCCCTTGACCAATTGATGTCGGAGGGCATCAATGCTCATGTTTCCCTTCGCAACAGCTGCTTCCAGATCCCGCCTTGCTTCTTGGTACTCACTCTGCCAAATTTCCACATCAATTCCACATCAAATGTTTGTTATCTTTCAGGAGAATCTGAGAAGAGAGAACGAAGAAGAAGAAGAAATAGAAGAGCATACTTCTACGTAAAATTGTGCACTGCGCAAGGCTTTGATTTTGAAGAGGACAATGATTTGTACAGAAAAGGAACCAGAGTGATCAAAGTCCGGGGGGAAATAAAGAAAGGATTACCAGGATTATAAGATACTTTGTAATGTAATAAGACTGCAGGGCATATCCTAGAGGACTTATCAAAACAGAGTGTCTTTCCATGGAAAAGGTGAGAAGTTCGCATTCCAAAAGGATGTAAATTCAAACAGCAATGATACAACCTCCACATATGTTTTTCTTGTCTGTACTCTACCCAACAACACGCATGACACAGGTAGGGCGAGTTGATCCAACACATATACACACTGGTCTTCCCACCACCACAGCACCCCTCATTTCCCTTCTGATTTAAGACCGTTACATCTCAAAGCTGTAAAACCTAAATATTAGCAATACAGTCATTACTTCATTAGATCTTCCTTTTTTTCCCCGTTTTATTTTTAACCGAAGACCTGTCAGACCTCTCCCACCCCATTACCCCCCGACCGAGATCCGGGAACGCATTCATCGATGGCAGATTGGTGCCAACGCATCTACACCGCCTAGCATTCACACACTGGAACAGAACTCCACTCATCATCCAGGTTTGACGATTCATCTGTTTCTCAGACACAAAAGAGTGCCTAACCTACAGTAGAACGATGGCCTTCCTTGAGATATCATAATTGAACTGACCAGCCTCAGGTAATTCAGAATTTTATTCTGTTCATCTGAGTTGCATCTGGATTTGAACTTGCAGCAGTTTTTCATTAGTTCACGGGTGTACCAACTGAGCAAGAGCAGATCCTGTTCGAGTACAGTCGTGAAAGTAAAGAACACTACATTATGCATCTACCAGCTAAGTCACAAACTCTATCTGACGTACAGGGACTGGCAGACGTGAAGACAGCCACAGTCTCACACCTTCACTGTCTCTGAAGGTTGCATTCTTCAATGAACTGTGATATGAACACTACATTACGCATCTACCATCCGAGTCACGTAACTCTATCTGACGTACAGGGACTGGAAGTATGAATACTTGGATGACGAATGGGAGAACAAGGAGGTGGTGCTGAACAATAATATTAAATATTTGGATGGCACAAGGGTGAATAAGAGGCAGCTGAGAGAGCTCAAGATCTCACAAGGAAGATATCAAGACAGTCGCAACGAACCATAACAAGAAGAGTCCATCCAATTGGAGAGTCCATCCCATTGGCTGAATGTTCCCTGTTCAAATCCTCATGGAATCAACTGGATGCAATGACGTAGGGTTAACAAGAAACACGGAAAGACCTGAAACGGACAGATAGTGCTCCAAAAAGTTGATGAATGCACAGTGCTAGAGAGGAGCTATTGACACCCAGGGCACAAACACAGGCCAAACCAGCAGCATTTTAAAATCTTCGGATGGGAGGGACAAAAAAACGCCACAAAAGGATCAACGACCACAATTTCTTTGAATAGAAAGTAGGAATAAGAAAAAAGACTAAAAAGCAGCTTTGAAAAAAGGGTATCCACCGACCCATGAAGCATACATATCATCATATCACACAGCAGAAGGTTAACGGACCCCTGCTTGTTTTCCAGTGGCCCTTTATAAGACGTTCACAATACCAGGGGGGGGGGAATCTGTGAACAAACTCTCCAACCATTTCTCGATTTATGCTTGCCATCCTTGCATAGGGGCCATACCTGTATCATTCCAATTTTAAAAGATGTCCCGCCGGGCCCGTTTCCCAGCTTGTTAAAGTAAAGGATATTTTATTATTTTTGTTATATATCGTCAAACAGAGCTGCCCGGTAAACCGTAGGCAGAGAGGGAGAAGACGACAACAAACGAGGGGATGTGACAAAATGTTTCGTTGGAGTTTCATATATCAGAGCTGCCCGGTAAACCGTAGGCAGAGAGGGAGAAGAGGACAACAGACGGGGCTGTCACAAACAGAACTGCCCGGTAAACCGTAGGCAGAGAAAGAGAAGAGGACAACAAACGAGGGGCTGTGACAAACTGTTTCGTCGGAGTTTCACCGACTCATCAGGAGGCTGAACCCTCAACAGTCGGCAGAATCCCCTCACTGATTACACTGTAAATGATAATCTACCTTRACCAAAATCAAAGTAGACTATCACTCACCCACACCAGATGGATATATATATATATACAGAGTTGCCAGGCCGAACGTACGGAGGCCCCTAAGCTGACCCCCGAACGTTCGGGCGTTCGGGTCCCCGTACGGGGCCCGAACTTGAAGGGGTTCGAACCCCGCAAAAAAATATTTCGGTACCTAAAAATTCTTATTGTTTTCTGATTTTTTTGTTTGTGAGTTCTCTGTTATGTAAGCTACCTGTCTCTCAATTTTGAAGTAATTCTGTGGAGCCAAAAAATAATGAAAAATCGGCAAAGATGGTGGTGTCAAAACATGTTTTCCCACTTACTAATTTGTTTTTTTTTCTCTTTTCACTTTTTGTTTTCCCTTTATTTCGGGGCCTGAAAAAAAATATTATTTTTTCAAACTTTATTTGTAGGTTCTCTATGATGTAAGATACAGATGTGTAAAATTTCATGGCATTTGACAAAGCCAAAAAGAAATGAAAAATCGCCAAAGATGGCGGTGTGAAAAACTTGCTCGCCCACGCAATAATTTCATTCTCGTTTTATTTTTTCTCATTTTCATTAATTGTATTTATTTTTCGTATTTGATTTTTATTTCAAATTTGGTAAGAAATTTGGATGTACTGTTGAGGCAAATGTTGTTTAGTTTATTCTTCTGCATGACATAGTGTTTTTTCAGAATTTTTGGAAACTTTGTTTTTTTTTTTGTTTTTTTTTTTTTTGTTCCGCGTTCGGCCGAACGTCCGAACGCGTCGAGAGGGGTTCCCAAACGTTCAGGCGTTCGGGTTCGGGTGTTCGTCCCGTCCCGAACGCCGGCAACCCTGGATACAACCATATCCTCACAACTTGGCACAAACTGGGAACCGGGCCCAGTTGAAGCTAGCTCTCCTATACTCCCACTAAACCGCTTTTTGTTGCCGCTTTTCTTAAACCCGACCTACATATCTACTTCTTTGTAGAATTGTATATTTTTTTTCAATGTATAATCTGTTCAGACAAGCTGGCCGTTCCAGAGACTGCTGGGTTGACCCGACCTCTGCTCTGTGGGGGAAGCAGCTCCCAAGCTCCTAACGACCTGAACGACCTGGCGTAGGCTGGAAAGGAAGATCAACGTTCTTTTTTTTTTTTTTTTTTTCGAGAAAGATCAACGGTCTAGAACCAGTCAGGAGATTGCGCACGTAAGTGGTACACAAGGCGTCGTGGGTTCGATTCCCCATGGCATCCATTCGATTCCCCACGGCATCCATTCGAATGGATGCCATGGGGAATGGAACCCCTCTGTGGTGTACTTCGGGTTCACCCACTGAGATGAGAAAGTCGCCCGGGAAATCATTTCAAAGCTACCCCAACCAACTACAAAGTATCTGGTCAACCTTGTCTATGCAGCTTTATTTATTTTGCTTCGAAGGGGGATAGCACCTACCTTCTTCCCCCGAATACAACGTACGGTCATTATAGCTCCATACGGGGTATCTTTCAGTCTACATACAGCTATAATGACCGTACCGTACGTTGTATTCGGGGGAAAAAGGTAGCTTGATTGTGTGTGTTCCTCTGATTCCATCAGAATTCGAACGCATTTTTTTCTGTTAACTAACAATTAATTACATGTGTGTTAAAAAAAAAAAAAAAAAAAAAAAAAAAAAAAAAAAAAACATGTGTGTACCATTCAACCATATCGTCTATGTGCCTTCATGGTACCGCCACAGAGACACGCACGCACGGGAACCCCTTGCTAAATCCTGAACAAAGGGAGATCACAGGGATGTTATTTCGGAGATATAACCTTGGGTCCTTGACAGCAAGCCTGTACTATACCAATAGAATAGGCTGTAATTAAGCCAGCAGTTTGACAATAGCTAAAGAATAGGCTGTACTAAAGCCAGTAGTTCGCCAATAGCTCAAGAATAAACTGTACTAAAGCCAGTACGTTGGCAATAGCTAAAGAATAGCCTGTACTTTGCCAATAACTAAAGAACAGGCTGTACTAAAGCCAACACTTTGCCAAAAGCTAAAGGATAGCCTGTGCTTTGCCAATAACTATATAGAATAGGCTGTACTAAAGCCAGTAGTTCGCCAATAGCTA